CAGCACAACTTTTCAACATTAGGTTTAATTTATTACTGAAAAGTACCTTGAACCATTTTACTGATCATAGTCACACTACATCAACATTCATAAATAATGTAAAGGGTTAAAGTAGGCGACCTTCACTGATTTCACTGAACAAATTTACAAAAGCATCTAATTGAACAATATATTTATAAAGAAAAATCGTATTAATGGGTTGAACACTGAATCACTAAATTTCATTAAATGAACGCTAAATGTTATTTTAGACAATGTCTATAGTAAATGTAATGTAACTGTAATTGAATATTCTTATGAATTTTATAATTTGCTAATATTCAACTAAACAATGTTAATGATATGTTAATATCACAATTTGAATGGAAATTATGCAAATTAAAGCTGAAAACTGTATAAGAATATATTGTCAAACACGTCATCCAAGATAACGGATGACATTATGGGCTAACAACTGTTATCCTATATGACAAAATTGTTATCCAGTATGACAAAATTGTTATCCGGTATGACAAAATTGTTATCCGGTATGACAAAACTCAGATTAAATCTTAATCAGGCAGTGTTTTTGGCTACCTATAGAAATCTGCAACCTTTACCTTCAACTTCCAAATATGTAAATTCATCCTAAATAAACATATTGACATAAAATCCACATTATATATGTTATTTTAGCGTTATCCCATATGACACAGGATTTTACTACGTAGTGTGCTAGTGAGGAAAAAGGGTAAGTTAAACACATTTTATGAAAGACATAAAAGACTTTCCCCATTGTTTGGGGGTCCTTTAGGGTTTTCCTGATTGTGTAACATGCTGTCTCACATCGTGTCAAAATAAAATTTACAATAAAATTGCTCCAATTTGCTTGTTATCCCGTATGACATTGGCTGACAGCCAGTTTTGGGACAGAATGCTCCAAAGCATAACAATCAACTGGATGTCATATTCTTTGTAATATTTCAATATATTGTTGTCAAGACTCATACAATAATGCCTGTGGCAGAGATGTTAGGGTTTATTCGATTTTTTACAGTTTGTTTGGCTTTTTTGTATGTCACTCTAAGGTCCGGACAGTTATCCGGTATGACATTATGAGACTATAATGTCTAATAATTCTTACACTTTGTAATACCCCTAATTAATAGATTCAATAAATGTGCTTTTTATTAAACATTTTCTTATTTTGACTTCATAAAGCAGTTTGGACATCAAAATTCCACGTCACGTCATTGGGCCAAATACAAATATGCACCCTTGAAGAAGTATGTCCTCTTAAGGTACTTATATACAATCTTAAAGTACAAATATGTACCCTTAAAAAAAAAATATATATATATACATAAGTACAAATAGCCTATACACCCTTGAAGTACTAATATATCCTCTTATAGTACTAATATGCAACCTTAAAGTACAAATATGTCCCCTTAAAGTACTGTTGCGTCCTTTCTTACTTTTTGGGTAAACTACCCATTTAAGAGGACATATTACTACTTAAAGGGTACATATTTGTATTTACAGTTACATATACAGGTAGTACTTTAACGGTACCCTTACAATATGTAAAAATATGTCCTCTTAAGGTACTAAAATGAAAACTTAAAAGTAATATGTACCCTTCTGGATAGTTTGTCCAAAAATGAAAATTCTGTCTTCACCCTCATGTCATTACAAACCTGTATGACTTACGTTTGTCTGCAGATTTATTATTATTTTTTTTAATGTAAAAAAATAGAAGAATGTTGGTAACCAAACCATTTTGGTGACCATTGGCTTCAATTGTATGCAAAAAAAGAAAAAAAAGAGACCTTTCTCAAAAGATCTTCTCTTCGAAGATACAGTACATGGGTGCGATTAAATTATAATAGAATTTTCATTTATGGGCAATAAAGCCCTAGTGACAAGCTGTTTAACAATTACTGCACATGTTGTCTGACAGAATATAGAGCACGAACTGTCATTTTGTCAAAAAAAGTATAGAGATATGATGATTTTTTCTTACTGCTCTGTGCCATCCTGGCTATGGCTTTGACTGCATTAGCCTGCGCTTCAGGCAGTGTGGCCGTGCCAACAAACTGCAGTATCTGTTCCAGACCGCCCATCGTCTGAATAAGCTGCATGGACTCGCTGTCTTCCAGACAGTTACAGATAACCCTGAGAGCCCCCTCATGCAGATCACTAAACTCCTGTAGGGAGGAGACACACTGCCATTACTGCTCAATCATGTGTTGCTTGATTTTGATTGAAGCGCTTGAATTGTCCTCAACTTGCGTACAAGAAGTTTGATTGCTCGTAATGAAGGTGACTAAGGAGCCGTTTTGAAATGGCTAAATGCTCATGAATAATTCAGATGAGAATAATTAGCCTACTTTGGTTGCAAGGAGCTCCAGGACTCTGTCAAAGCCCTGTGCATTTCTAAAGGCCACACGGGTTTCACTGTCAGTGGTGATGTTCTCTATGGTGCGCAGTGCAAGTTGCTGAATAACTGGGAACTCTGAGCGGAGCAGATCCAGAAATGGGGGGATTCCATTTAGACGCTGCACAGCTGCACGATTCTGAATGTCCTGAGTGGGCACAAAGCAAAAAAGAGCCAAAACAATTGATTTTAACAGTGTCCTTCTGGAGTTCAAAGGGTTATGCTCTTAAATCTGATCAAATATCTATGACATCATTGAAAATACAAATCGTTTCAAATTCAATTTTCATCTAACAACTGTGTTTTGTTAGTGCTGTATAATACCACCCTGACAAATGCCTTTTAGTCTGATTCATAACAGACCGTCTGTCTGACTCTGACATCTGTTGTCTTACTTGTACAAGATTAAATATGCACTCCACAGAATTTTTCTTCACATCAGGATCCGGGCTAGACAAGAGCTGGATAAGAGGTTCAAGTCCGTTGTGGTCAAATATCTGGACCTTGTAGGAGAAGTCCACTGACAATGACGTCAAACACAATGTGGCAAACTCATGGACCACAACATTCTCTGAGGAAAAGAAGGAGGCAGGTCAGGTATGTACAAAAGAAATTAAAAGAGCGAATAATACATATATATAATGCACATTGAATCCAAAAAAAAAAAAAAAAGCATGTACCTTCAGGTGACAGTTTGCTGATGACTGCAGGTATCACATCCAGTGTCTTCAAACACTTTTTAACTTCATCTGTTTAAATATCCCAACAAAAAATGTAAACTATGTTGCTGCTGAACATTCTTTGATTTGATTTGTGCCTATTTTTGTACCCTACGTACTGTTAGAAGCCATGACGCCCAGAGCCATGACAGCATTCCTGCGCACAGTCTTGTCCTCGTGAGATATGAGACGAGAAAGAGGTTCAATCGCTCCCAAGCACATCAAAGAAGTCTTATTCTCATCACCTAAAAATATATAAGCACAACAGCAAAAACGCATACAGGAATCAATAAAGGAGAGCCACACAAGGGAACATAGTGAGCACTTACCTCTGCAAAATTGTCAATGACCTTAGACTGTAAGACTAGATGACGCTGTTACCTTTTTCTGCGAATTTGTGGATGGCTTCACAAGCTTTTGCCAGCACCTCTTCTTCAGGAGAGCTGAGCATGAGAACCGCGGTCGCTGCTGTTTTGCTCTCGATGGGTAGAGGGTCGAACTGAAACAATACAACTTGTCTGTTAGGTTAGAAATATTTCCCTGGAAAATCACACGAGTGGTGAAAAATGTTCTCACCACATCTTTCGGGAATGGCTCGGCCTCTTTTTTGACCTTTTTCCCCATCTAGATATCAAAAACTCCAAACTACATAAGGAACAGTAATTCAACTTACACAGAAAACCCTCCAAAAAGATCAATAATAACATAAACATATTAATAGACTATTTCTACGAAACACAATTATAAACAAAGTCTACAATCCATAAAGAATACCTGCTGCGCTGTGCGTTTGGTTTTCTGTTTAGCCTCTGTTGCTAGGTGACAGGTGTAATTTAACATTTCACCTGTAGGTGGGGCAAGAATCACTCTGAAACATACTTGGACAATTATTTATTTATTTATTTGTTTGTTTAAAATATGTCGGTCATGAACCGTTAGGTGGCTCCGAAGTAATAATTTATTAAATTATGATAATACAAAATAATGGCATTAATAATTAGAAAAAAATAGGTCATCATCAAAATAACAAGCTTTTCTGGTGAATATCAACAGCAATAGTGCAATTAAATCATGAAATATGCAGTAATATATTCTTTAGAAATCTTGTATAATGTATTATTCATTGTTCTAGAATAATTTAATCTAATCTGAAAGCCCTATTTATTAAATGCAATTACTCATACACTATGTAATCATATTTATTTAATACAATATTTTATTCGATAAATTAACCTAATAAATTAAATTAATAAATGCCTTGAAAAAGGCATTTAATTTCCTCCATCTAAAATGGTATGAACTCGTCGGAAAAACAGCTGTCATTGGAGTAGACCTGGACCTCTGATGATATTCATGTTCAGACTCATGGACAGTGGTAGCCTACACTACACCACCCACTCCGTGACATGCTCGCTGGAATGATGAGCATGTTCAGCAGTGGGTGTTGCAAGAGGGAGCAAAATAAAGTTATATGAATGTGATATACTATACAACACACCCACCCAGTGTGTTTTTGACTTGGTAAATTAACCCATTCTTCAAGTACAACTATAAATGCACCTGCGCAATACATCTATCTATCTATCTATCTATCTATCTATCTATCTATCTATCTATCTATCTATCTATCTATCTATCTATCTATCTATCTATCTATCTATCTATCTATCTATCTATCTATCTATCTATCTATCTATCTATCTAGAAACTATTTGTTCAGCTTTTATTTAGGCTATTCTAGCCATTTATTCATTTTTTTCTCTAAAACTACATACTTTTAATTGACCTCAATTAAAATAAAGATTTGACTTATAATTCAAAATGTATGTGTGTGTGTGTGTGTGTGCGTGTGTGTGTATGTGCGCGCGCGCGTAGCTGTCAGTCCTTCAGTCGGGGAGTGCGGATGAGCCGGATACGCCAACTTTAAGCAATGTAGATATAGCTGACAAAATTCACACCGAATTCAGACTCGAACCCTTTCCACGCTCGGAATACTGGCTTCGTTTAAAAGTAAACATCTTTTCGGGGCAGACAAACGACAAAGAAAGAAAGAAAGTGGGAGTGGGATTTTGCTTGAGACATATTTGCTGGCTTAGCCTGACTGGGGTGCGTTAGCATGCTAATGGAGCAGCGCTGCAGTGGATGTCTCTCCACCCGCTCTTTTTTCCTCAAATTAGACTGACGTCGTTCAGATTACATTTCATTCTCTATTTTCAGTTGTATCCGTCAGTATTTCTATTGTTTTTATTTAAGTGAAGTGTTAAAAAAGCTCCCGAGGGGAGGCTGGCTTGTCAGGCTAGCTAGTTAGCAAGTAAGGAAGGCTTACTAATGAAGTCTTAAGGAGCTTTTGCAGTTACGGGCGAGAACTTAAAATAACACCGCGTTTTGCTCTTAACTTTAATGTTATATATATCAGCAGACTGTTTTAGCACATTTGGCGAGTTCTTCATCTGTCCAGCGAGCTAATACATAGTTGAGTTGGTACAGCTAGCTGGCTGCGGTTAGTTAGCTAACTGAACGTTATGCCAAATGATATTTTATTAAGAGACAGTTAGGACACCACTAGCTTAATTAAAGGACTTGTCACTGTGTGATAGTTAATTTATTGTTATACAACCAACAATGGCCTCGGCTGGTAACACTGTCTCATCGTTTGCGAGCAAAACAAAAACGAAGAAGAAACACTTCGTGGCTCAGAAAGTGAAGCTGTTTCGTGCCAGCGACCCTCTGCTCAGTGTTCTCATGTGGGGAATAAACCATTCGGTGAGTCAAACCTGCAGTCTTTTTCTTTGTTTGTGTCCGTTATTGATCAATGATTTAGAGTTAACGAGGAAAGAGAAGTTCAGTATGTCTCGCAACCGACAATTGGCACCATCTGTTGGATCCATGCACTTCGGGATCATCAGAGGTCTGCTTTGATTTTCTGTTGCTTAACCTTCAGTTTATTGACCAATATTCTGTTTTGTTCCTTAAAACACTTGCAGTTGTATGTTCTTAAAGCATGTGAACCAAACCTGTCAATGAATTGTTGACTTCAGGATATTGTTCATGTCAAAAAACTAATTCCCACATGCCCCTATTGATGCAAACTACCGGTAGTTTAAAACCTTCATTTGTTGTCTGTGCAGTAATGAATCAAATTTGTAAGTTCTCTATGTCCTTTTATGTGCATGCAAAGAGGTTGCAAAATAATATCTGTATCAGTAGTGGAGCTGTGGGTGAGTAATCGTTTCCTGTTGGAAGTTTTGGTTGCAAGATGATAAGCTTATGGTTTACTGAAGCAAGACTCATCTCAGCTGATACTGACTGTTATTGTTTGCACCATTAGTTGTCTTTGGAGAGGAAAGCCTCCTAGATGTGCTTCTCTTATAGGCCTGCACATTTCAGTTGGTAGTGTTTTTATATTCATATACTGGCTGTTTGACTGTACTTTGAGGTGAAGAGAGGCAGTATTTGCTCTAATAAAAAATGTATTCATATTTAGATGTCTTGGTGTCCCAAGTTGTCCGGTTATGTTTGGTGTGACAGTCTTCACCTCCATCTATTTGTTAGACGTTTCTCTATGAATTAACTGTCTTAGACCAATCACACTGCACACCTTTTGTGTTCTACATGAAAGTTTCTTAAAATGCCATTCTTTGGAGGTCTTCAGAAATGCAGCTTGTTTTTAGTTTCTCTACACTGTCTGGTGACATTTTCCAAATGGTAGATTTGTTTAGTTGTCTGAGATGTAATAAAGGTTTGTTATTTTCCAGTCACACATACCATTCTTAAGGGTAATTTTTCTGCTTAATTTGTTTATTTACAGTAGATAAATGTAGCCTGCATGGATGGTTGACATTTAAGAAAATGTTCCAGTAGACCAGGGATGAAAATAATGCATCTTTTTGTTTTGTATTCATGGCCTCACTACCCATTGTCAAAACACTGAAAAGGTATCCAGAAATGTACATGAGTCTGCGTTAATATTAATATTAGTGTTGATAGTTTCTGTTCATTGGTTATAGGTTAGTATTATTGGGTATTTAATTGGACACCCTTTTCCATCTATTTTTATGTTTTTGATTACTTTTGCCCTAATCTAACCTTAACTTGCATTGGAATTTTTTTAAATTATTAAAAAAAAAATATATATTTTTTAAATGATTATCATTAGTTTTTTATTTATGGAATATAATTACTTATTTAACTAATTATATTTTTTAATAGTAATAAAATGAAAAGTAAATATTGGCTAATATCTGCAATGGCCAGAATTATATAACCTATTGTTGCATCCCTTGTCTTAAAGGCACAATATAGATATTTGCATTAAAAATATCCAAAAACCACAGCGCAGTGTTAGATATTTTGTTCATTTTTCTACTCGGATTATCCCAAATGTTTCCAACAATGATTAAATCCAGAGAAATTAGCAATTTTAACCAGTGTGACGTCATTGCGTCGCCTGTCAATGGCGTCATGTTTGCATTATCCTCGGTTTCCACTTTCACTGTCATAGAAACCATGGCAACACAGTAGGCCTATTCTATTGTAGCGTCTATCTAGCCACTCTGTTGTTGTTTCGCATAATTTTCATGGACCACAAGTATTCGTTATCGTTTGCAGCAGGTTCTCTCCAGAGAAATGATCAAATGATCCAAGAAAAGTTTAGGACAAGAGGAGAAATAAAACGAGGATCAATATCAGTGTGGCATTAAAGGTATAGCGGAGGATTTTCTTTTTCCGGGTGGGTAGCCTATACTATTGGTCCACCTAAGTGTCAATCATTCTGGTGATATGTTTACGTAAGGCCGTCGTACGTGCTCGTCCCTATGTAGTTTTCGCTTTCTGCGCATGCGCACTTTCAGGTGTATTATGTGTGATGAGTTACGGTTTCAGCCATTCCTTTGAAAATGGCTGAGGGTCGAAAGAGAACAAATGTATACGAAGTGTATGATAAGAAGAGAAAGGCCGCAGAATATAGAAACAAGACCAGAGTGATTTTGGGTGAATATTTCACACGCTGGCGTGCGCTAAAAGCACAGGTTGGGCTTCCCACTGATGCCGCAGTCGCGAAGATTCTACTAGACAGGTAAAGTTTGTCATGCTATTTGGAGAAATCCATTTAAAATCACTGCTAGTAAAAGTTTAATAGGCGTTCCCTCTCGGGAGCAAATAGAGTGTTGCGCATGTGCATTTTTAAAAAAATTGGAGAGGCTTCTCTAAAATTCGGAAAGATCCTCCGCTACCTTTAAGACTGTTTAACAAGTCAATGGCAGTGTAATTAAACACAGTATATGTTAGCCTACATAAATAATAAGTCAGCCTTTTGCAAATGCTGTGGCTACGTTTAAATGTACTTTAGTATGAATGTTTTGAACACAAAACTGCGCTGCATTACTCCACCATTTAATTTGACAAATAAAGTGATAAGTTAGCATTAAACATTGTTACTTTCAGCTTATTCTTTAGAATAAAATAAAATCATGTGATCAAACATAAGTTACAAAACTGTATTTCATTACCTCATCCATGAACATGATTTGTGAGTCTCTCCCATTGATGATTGAGGTGAAGACGACAACTCCCATCATGCCACGCTCCTTCACAGCGTCATCAAGCTACGTCTTTGTTATTGTTTTGAATATGTGATCTCTATACTGTGCCTTTAAAGTTTGTGATGTAACTGAATTAGCGGCAAAACTTTTATTCGGCAAGACATCTAAGTAAAATGATTATCGAAAAAGAAGAAAATGTAGGCTGAGGACATCTATCCATCTATCCATAGTTCGTTTGTTGATTGGATGGCAGATCTGACCGTGAGTGTGCAGTCAATTGTAAGAAAGTTTAAGGCAGGGTTTAACTAAATATTACTATACTAATATAAAGTCTAGCATGTCACCAGTGAGAAGTTATTAGCCTACATTTTGATTCAAAATTACAAACTAAATATATATATATATAACATACGCATGGATGAATTGTTCAAAATACATAGGGTGAACTTCCATTTCATTCCAACTTTTAGCTGTAAAGTGTTTTATGTTAAAATTTTAAACCACAGCCGATTGTTGGGTTGTTTTGCATAATATAAACATCAACAGAGAGCTGTGGGGCTTTGTGCCATGGGTCAAAGCAGAGGTCAGGTCTTGGTCTTGTAGGGCTGGAATGGAATTGGAGAGGGGGAGGCCAAAAATCACAAGAGAGAAGCGGAGACCAGATCCTTCCCTATCTGTGACAGCCCCATCAGTTAAATACATTGACTGCCACTGACTGGAGCTAAGCAGCGCTACTACACTCTGTAGGCTGAAAGTGGGCCTTGAAACCTAACCTAGTGTTGGATATTTTAGATATCAAGCAACTCTGAGAGCATGTGGTCAAGAAAGTTGAGGGTGGAGTAGTTGGTGCAGCTCTCTGTGGTGCTTACACTGCTAATGAATCATGCATGCAGCTGCAGGCCCTCACTGAGCTCAGACTACTAAACAGAAAAGCAGCGGCTCTTGACCACTAAGGACCACGATGCTTGAATTTGGTTAGCAAACAGCATTGAATGGGGAATATAATGTAACATTATTCTGTCTCATATCAAGGAGCACCTCAGCTTTTGTGTTCTCAAGCTGTCTGTTTTTGTGCGTCTAAGGCTAATTTGTATATGCATTGAAAGTGATATGAGAATTAATGCTAATAAGGGGATATTCAGTTTAGATGATTATGAAATCAAACACTGTGGGAAGCGGTTGTTTTAGTCCAGTTCAATCACTTTGCTGTTCTGCCACCCTCCCCTTTCTGCTTACTCTGTACAGGTCTTTACTCTCTCTTAAGCTCTTTATCTATTACTTTTCTCTTTGTTAAGCCCTCCATACTTCCTAGACTCTCCCGCCCTGATCAAGAGTTGCTCTGTCTGTGTTTGGATTGCATAAGGAGTTTCTAAAAATACTCAAGATTCAGCAGCCAATCTGTGGCACTGCAAGACACTATTTTATTTTTACACTGCCTAAGGCAAATGCTGATCATCTTCAAAGTCTTTTAAGCTCAATCAGAATGCTTTGATTAGGGCAATACATGCAGATGAATTTAACATGCTCTCTCAGTAAGGTGCATTTCTGCTGAACTACACGTGGGATACTATTTTCCATTTACTTTGTTGTAGGCGTATCAGGTTCAACAAGAGATTTGCTAATCGCCATGACAATTTGTATCTGTGTAGTCTTTTTTATGTGTCCATACTAGTAAGGGAAGATAAATGAAAACTAACACTGATAGTTAGTTCATCCATAGGCATCTCATTCTCTTCTTCATTTGCAAGGCTTAGCTTATCACGCCTACACAAATTCAGTGTGCCTAAGGCCCTGTTTACACCTGGCTGGTATTAAGATACATTTTGGTAAATCGGACCACAAGTGGATGATGGTAAATAAAGGTGTGAACAGGGTCTAAAACGTTTTGAGCTTGTCCACTTTTGACCGCTTCCAGAGGTAGTCAAAAACAAATTCGAACAGATAGCTTTCTTAGTGTGAACACTCATGTAGCGGAATGTGTTTGAACAGCCACAAAAGACCATCTGCTCTCCACCTACTGACCTAAACATTATGTGAAGCGCGCTAGCAAGATTTAAACTCTCAGCTGGAGACCCAAGTTTGGTTTGAAGACAAAAAACATACTAAGCACAATGTTCTATTGCTTTTCCTGATTTCTAACACGCACATACTTCGTTCATCACGGTCTTGCGCATATCAGAGCAGAAATGAAAGCTGCTACTCTCCGTTTTTCTGTTCATATGA